TGGTGCTCGTGCACTCGACGTGGGATCCGGAAGCGGAATCTTGACAGCCTGTTTTGCTCTTATGGTGCGTTCTTGGCCCATAAAATTGATCAACTTATTACGCCCTGATTCCGCCCACACTCTTTTAGCTACACGTGCTGTCTTTTTACGTGGTGGGATGCATCTTTTACTTCGATGTCATCCAATTTTTTGTCCATTTTCCCCGGCGCTTTCCAGAGTTCACTCAGTTATTCGCATGTTTTATATGGCGGCCAAAGCTGTCATTTCTTGTGTCCTCCAAACTTGAAGGGAACTCCCACACGCATCATGCATTTTTCAAAGTTAGTTTAGTAACAAAAAAACTGACTGGCAAAGACGACTAGATTGGTCGCCTCTGGCTTGTTTTTTTGTCATACTTCAACCTCTGTACTGGAAAACCAATAGATACCCGGTATTTCCGGTGAACCCTAACGGACTAGGTCCCAGTGGTCTCGTTAAAATCAGCCGCACCTATCCATCTACTTGTTGGTGCTGTTTTGTTCCGAGGTCAGCTAGTAGGTAATCGATGGATTTCCCTCGGAAATCATATTCAGTCGCGAAGTTGGTAAGATACTCAAGCTCTCTCACGTTATAATACTAAAATTGTTAATATCGTGGGAAGAGAATGTTTCATAAAGAAAATAAAAAAGACTCGAATCTGATTGTTCTTTCGTCATAGTCAGGGGTATCCGGAATGCGCAATTATGACTTGCTGAGGTAGATTGGCGCGGTGCCCACTTCACCTTCTTTTTCTGTCCCCTTATTCTCGTGACTTGATAAGGTTACTGCGAATTGGGATGGGTTAGAGCTCTGTGACTGACATGGCAGGACTCGCCTCCACTCGTCCTGGTTCCTACGCTTGCACGACCCGAATTTCAGCTCCTATCTGAGGTCCTCGTGAGTTGCCGCAAAGCTAACACAAGTAAGTGTGGTTTGGTCTTTATTTCGTCAGGGGAATAAATAGTCTGTTAGTCCAAAAACGCTCGCGGATACGTTTTTTAGTCAGAATGGTATTACCGACAAAGACAAGGGAGTGAGTTCCGTATGAACGATTGGTGAGCGCCCCCTACCAACTTTTTTTAGTCTTCACGATAATTTATATTGAGTCATAAGTATGGATAAGTGAGGCATAAGTATGCACCGAATCTACCCCACCTCCTGCCTTCCGACTTGGGATGAGAGAGGACACAATAACTGATCGAGTCACGCGCATATGTTGCCTCGTTTAAATCAAGCCCAATAGAACAGCCCATATATCGCGGTTCGGATCCCAGTGTTACTCTCGTGCAGGCCTGAAACAACTACGCAACCCGTTTGCAGTGCCACGCATGCACCTACTCTTGTTTCATGCGTTCCAACGCTGTTTGTTCAAAAATTACAAGGGAATGGAGAGGTGCGGAGCTGCTAGTTGATCAAGGCTCTAAATTTCCGTAGCACGGTTTGAACCCTAAAACCAGTAGACCGACCGTAGTAATACGTTAATGAATATTTGCTGGATGTTTCGAGGCTACTGGGGTTGTATCGGCACAACCGTGAGAATGTGTGTAGTCTGTGAACTACAATTACCAAGTCAAATCCCGTTTTGGAAGGAGAAGACAGATGGCAACAGAACGAGGGGTTTAATATATACAGGACCCGGAGTTGTCCTCTCAGGCGGCAGTGGCCACTGGCGAAGTCAGGGCTGGTGATGACTGCATCCAGTCAGGCCTGAGAGTCCTTGGGAAAGTGACGGCAGCCGCTTTTTTAGGATCGTCGGCCAAGCTCAAGTGGTCTCCAATCGGTGTGTGTTGCATTTAACGAGGGGTGGTGTCCCAGTGGCTTGTTTTGCTGGCTGCAGGGGGTGGGGTGCGTTCAAGTGGCCGCATAGGCAGCTGCGACTGTGCGGACGCAGGTATGCCCGAGCTGTCGGTCGTATGACTTCAGCTCAGCGCGTCTGGAACGGCTCACTGTAAATGGGTGGACGGCCTTGAGACACCGAGGTCTTAAACAATGACGCCAGACCGGTCATGATGGCTGCCCGCTACAGGGTAACGCGTTCCACGCAGATTGTGAACATAATACCATGGGGGGGGAGGTATCAAAAATTGCCGATTACACCAAACATTGCTACCCACAAGGATGAAAGCCACTCTTGTGTTTGCAGAGAGACTGAAAGAATTGGGTACTAATGTATAGGACACAGCTCTTTGAACTCCACCTATTAGGCAAGAGGCGATTTATCTTACACCCAGACTTCAATTCCAATTAGTTATAGTACTTCTTAGCTGACTGCTGGAAGTCCGCTGGTACATTGGTAACTTGGGAGTCAGTACAAGGCACAAAGTCAGACGCCGCAAAAAAATCTGGCAGTTCGACCATCTGATCTAGGGAGCTCAGACTTTCATAATCTAGCCAGAACTGCTTAGCGAATTAGTGGCCGAGTGGACATGCCTGAGGTTTCCTGTCGCGAAACGGCACAACAACGAATGTAAAACAGGGGTGCATTTGTATTTGTAATAGGTAATACAGAAGGGACCTGCCGTGCGTCAGGCACGAAAAGACACTGCCGGCGTTCTGAAAAGCGTTAGAGGTTGGTCACGCGATGCACGATACAATTGCGGCGAAACCAGTTTGTCCCCTTTCCTCAAAAACTGAACTACTCCTTCGATGGCACTGTTATCGAAGGTTTCTGTCCGCTGCATTCATTAAAACCATCCACCTTATGTGTATAATAGTCAGGGTAAGGTGGACGAGGGCTACTCGCTAAACTTTTCTGTCAATTCGGCGAATAATAGTAGTCTCCAGGAGCCTTTTGTGATCCACTCACTGAGATCACGCGTGGATGCTGCGCTTTGGATCGGTAACGACCGTGAAACAGCTGTCTGCGTCTGGCCTGTTACACTCTTAGCGAGCTACCTGTGTGTTATATGTAGTATGTGTCGTATGACACAGCGTTCGTTGTCACCAGTAGCAAGTTGGCGGGTGGACAGAATGAGATCGAGTGAGATCCTAACCACAACAGTGAGGGCCAAACGCCCACTTGACATGCTTATATACCTCACTCCATAAGGCCTATGACGTACCGATGACCGATGACGACCGTGAAACAGCTGTCTGCGTCTGGCCTGTTGCACCCTTAGCGAGCTGCCTATGTATTGTAAGGATGTCATATATGCAGTGGCAGTTGCGAAGTGTGAGAAATGGGCAATATGAGGAATATATCATGCGAAATGTTACCGTTTCTGTCGACCTCTAAAAATACACACACCTCACTGATGGCTGTGAGCTGTGCAGCGCTCTACGCTTTGGCGTTTCCACTAAACACGATCATCTTTTTTTCCTCAATGAGAACTCGGTTTGCTCCGTTTCGAGATCCCTTTCCCGCAAGTTCTCACTTGCGTCCGTACTGACCCAGCACTTCACCTGGCCAGTAAATGCAACGAAATTATTACTGATTGCCCATAATGCCTTGTCCACTCGCTAAACCCTTTTTTGTTAGATGTTCCTTCCTATCAGTGACTTTATTGCGGATTTTTATGCTACAGAGTCTTCTTTAGCGGCATATCTGAGTATGTGCGATCCGTTATCGGCAGCTGACGCCTATATCAACAGCAAATATCGATAGGAGAGAATCGTAATATGATAGTTAGGAACAGGAAAATCCCCTTTCAGTTTCGGTCCTTGGTGCATCGCAAGGCCAGGCGGATTTGCAGCCGCACAGCTACCCGCGCAGTCTTTCCTGGTCTTACCCGTCAGGTTGTTCTAATTAATTTTGATGGGAGCTGTGCCCTAATTTAAGTAACTTAAGTGCTTGTAGTAGGCCTTGGTAGCTAACGGTTTGTTGTAGCCAGTGAGCATTGCTGTTTGGTTTCAATGGTACTTGATAGAATGTAGAACAATGCACTTGATTGTCATTACTACCAAAGAATTACGCCTTATGAAGGTTTACTTAGTATGAACTTCGGGTAGTCTTCCTCAAGTCGACATCAATACCCTATTTCTCAAAACCAACGTCTCAAGTTGCACTTTTAGGCGAAAAACAGGTCGACTTTTTAACAGGAGGCCACGCAGCTAACTCCGATGTGTGGGTCGCCAATTTGCTCTTGAATGTGGCATGTCGTAGCTGCCGTCGAAATTCCTGATGCTATCTGTCCGTCTGGTCGCTCTCCGTTCCAATACACGTATTTCCTGGATTAAAAAAACATTGGAAAGTTGATTTCAGAGCCACCTGTTGCTGCAGCGGTCCTTCGGACTTTTACAACTAAACCTTGCCTTAGTGCAATTCACCCGAGTTCGTAATCACAACAATTTTGTGCAAAACAGTTTTCTTCTAAGTGTACGGCGAAATTGTGACTTGGGATGTTAGATACTTTGCTCTTCGAAGGTAATCTGAAAGAGAGCATGCTCGCTGTTGGAGGTGCACAACGCGCATGAGTCCTTTCGTCTGAATACGTTTCAACTGGGCAAGCCTACTAAGTCGATCGACTGAACTAACATGCCGAGTGTCCCATTTCCCGCCTGACACTTCACAGAACCTTTTTGGTAGTATCTGTTAAAACTGCAAATGTTTCCGGCCAACGAACCGCTCGGCTTTTCTGTTCTTGTGTCGCTTTGTGGCATGTACCTCCATGCGCGACCTATAACTCGTCATCCTCGACCTCTGATTTGCTGATATTCTGCTACATATTTTGCTACAACTGTTAAGACAACGCCGTCTTCTCTTTCATATGTGATCTACAGTACTCGGTTATTTTTTGCTGGACTAGACACCGTCTAAACTTCCCCTCTGAAAGCGCCACAAACCCTGCACAGGTAAATTTACACAGGCGTCACCGAACGCATTTTGAAGACCGATCAGCTTGGCTTTTGGACGCCGGCTGGAGTCGACGCTCATACAATACAAAGTTGGAATCTGACCTCGAATCACACCACTAATTATTCGGTGTGTTAATGACCGTAATTCTCCCGCTAATTACTGCGGTTTTCCTTACAAACGACTGAGGATGCGATGGGGGCAGCAAGATACATGCACATCGGCCCGCAAGACGTTTACAAATCTGCCTTCCGCAGCCTAAAAATACTTGAATAAACCAAATAACATTCTGAAAAATACATGAGATCTCTCAGTCGTAAGCTAACTCGGTCAACGCACCTCCAGCCTGGGGTTTCCTTTTTTAACACCTAAATTGATGTACGCAGTGTGCTGGATTATTTGTTACCGGGACGAAGGCTATCATTTCACATCCACTTGGACCAGTTCGCTGACTGAAGTCATTGCATTTCTACCACTTAATCAAGTCCATTCCGTCCTACTGGTTGCCGAAAATCATTCTAGTATCTTCGGGAATTGTTCGTTACCTGCTCAAAAACCTAGTCGCAAAACGCATAAATTTGTTCGGTCCAATTCGGGCATGCACCCAGAATTTTGCTCTTTGGACGAGACTAGTGGTCTCGCGTATCCCAAACTGAATAGCTCGGTAACTGTCTGCGAAAATATGGGGCGAGGCTCCGTGCCACCAGCTTGACGGCCTGAAGGCAAGCGATATCCTCCACTGAATCCCATGACGACTATTGCGGAGTCTGCAGTTGTGATTTTTGCGAGTGACTGGCTGGCACTTGTCTCATCCATGCATAACGCACATGCGCTGGTTTCGTATCGGTACTCGTCGCAGGACCCCCACCGAAAAGGAACTCTTCCAACCTGGCTTTTAGTCCGGAACATCGAGCTATCCATTCAGTTATCAGCCGCGACATTTAAGATGGCTCCCAAATGCGTCAGACCCATTACGGGTACGAAAAGTCGCGTAGAATCGACTTCACCTCACTCTACCGCGTTTATCTTGAGTGGTAAGGCCGAATTAACCTGATTGGAAAAGGAGGTCGAATGCAGTAACCATATGACATTTCGCCCTGACTTGCCACTCAAGAGAACTCTGACCTCTGAATTCGTGTACCATCGCCTCTGTAAGTGTAGGCATGATAGATGTGCATAATACTTACGTATCACATTGTGCATAGGGTATGATAGTTCGGCTGTCATTACTGGCTCAGGTCATCTTTGCCAGACGAACCTGGTGGATCGGGTGTTGATTGGCTGCTTCCAAAATTACTGACAGAAACACAGCAGTCTGATTTGGCTCTCACTCCAAACGAGCAGTAATATATGCCTTTTATTTGAAATCGGAATGCAACATTTTTGACGCACACGTTAGTAAGTGCTAATGACAATCATGCATCACCGCCACCCTCACCGTCCCGGACTAAAACCGAGATTCCCTCTCTCATTTCAGCCTTTGATTGAGTACCACTAATTTTGTGCTTTCTTTTCGTAAAATAAATACGTTTCAATGGGTTTAGATTCCATATTTCATAATTGTTTTTCGTACACTTTCTAAGTTTTCTGTCAAATGTAATCGCTACCCTGGAAGGAGTGTTTCCCTGGGCATTGGTCCAGTTCACCATGACGATTGCTCAGAAGCCTTTAACATTTCTTTTTGGTTAAAGCTTTAGTCCATTAATGTGTCAATTTCCCAGACAGGGCTTTCAGGGGTTTTCTTAGACGTCAAGTCTTTCTTGCTGTCAAAGAGGTTGCCTGAGTCAATCTTCATGTGCCTCCATCCCCATTAGAGTCCGTCAAAAACGCTCCCCTTACCAAGTCCCTTTTCTTCAGGTCGGTACTACTGGCACCGCTGTTGGCATTGAGCACATTGACGAACTGCATAAACTATCGGAGTCGAATATACGCAACTGGCTGGCCTCGAAGCCTCAGCTCAACGGCACTGATGCCGATCTGGAAATCGGAAAACAAATCCAACTCGTGACGGGTGACGGCAGGAATGGGTATGCACCTTTTGCTCCCTACGATGCAATCCACGTTGGCGCTGCAGCCCCAACACTCCCACAAGCCGTAAGTGTTTATTGAAAGCAGGACTTCTGGGGACATGGCGTTGCGCTGTTTTTTTTCCCCTCGCCTTGCATGTCAGATCGGCGTTTTTGACAGTTACTTTCCTCAACAGAGTCATGCGACCTGTTTTTACTAGCATCTCATAGGTTTATGGCCTGGCGCACAAAGCGGCCTCACGCTTCTCAGTTAATGATTTGGCATAGCAGGTTCCATATTACGTCGGTGCTTTCCATCTCGGACTGGCCGTTTTTCGAAGCCCATTTTAAGTGGTTTACAGATAGGAGGGGCCGATTATTTGGCCGCAAAACCCCCTCCCTCCATACGCCTGACCTGCGGTATCCACCTTGAAGGAAGGACATCTTTTGGGTTCATACAGGTGTTTCAATTAGCGAATAATTGTAAACCCTACCTGCGTGTGAGGTTTCTTAATTACACACTGAACGCTTTCAATTTAAGGAAAATTGTACGTGCCCCTGCTCTGTCAGAAAGATGTTTTTAATCACTCGTAGAAATTCGCATCAATGGCTCACGAGTCAGGTCGCCTATCGTACCTCTTATGCCTTGGGTTTGGCTTAACAAGAATTGATACTATTTGAGACTGCGTGCTAATTATATCCAAATGTTGGAATTTCTGAGTAGTAAACAAAACGGACTTGAAGGAGAACATTACTCTCGTTCTAAATATGACAGTATAGAGACGACTTCAATCTACACGCATAGGACAATCGGCCGTCAATTTGGTCAATCCAGGGAGTTGTTGGTTAGCATGAGATTTTAGCTTGTGTTTCCGTTTCTCTGAGCACCGGACTTGGTACTATCGTTCTTTCGCACCGAAAAATTGCAAACCTTCACTTTTGAGTCCTCCAAACACAGGCTGACGCCGATCTCCTTTTCTTAACACAACCTCAGTTCATATTGACCCAACTGTGTACAGCCAACGCTCCAACCACTTGAGCTACTAGTCAATATGAATTATTCAAAATCTGCCAAAACATATATGAATTACGTGAGCCTTGTGGTCATCTGGTGGATTCTAGGTGAATTACTTAGGAAATCCTGCCTGAGCAGTCAACTTACTGTACCCGATTTGATGGATTCCAGACGTTGCAGTAGGTTGGGCGGGTAACTTGACCCAAATGTGATTAAACTCGCGTCGTCCGGCGGGGCCTCGTACCTCAAGGGGTTATAGCGTTGGCTGTACCAAAACATTCCCCTTACTGCGTGGGTTCGAATCCCACCGAGGCGCCGAGTTTTTCACAATTGGGTCAATATGAATTACTCAAAATCTGCCAAAATATCCATGAACAACCTCATTTGTCATTCTTTGCCACTTTAATGATGTTTTAATGGATCTTAGCTCGGAAAAGCTAAAGGAGGATGTTTTGATCGTTCCAACAACAATTATAAAGTATTGCCAACAAATAAAGGGCGACTGGGATAGCCATTTCTGGCATACAAACCTCGGGTCGGGAAGTTTGACCCAGACGTACTGCCAGTTCAGATCCAGGCCGTGCTTGAGAGTACACAAGGTCGCTTGAGAATGGCCCTCAGCTATCTGGTCAGATTAATCATGGCGTTTTGCCGTGCAGTTCCACCTGTCAGTACTTTCGGTGCGAGCTCCAAAAGAAAACGGTGCCACCGCTATTCAACTGCAGTCAGGTCAGGTCAGTGATTCTCACTCCCGCACAACTGACTGAAGTTGTATATTTTATGTCTTGGCCGAGCCATCGTAGGTTTTTCTGCCCAACTTTCGGACTGGAGACAGGTCTTTTTTCGGGTTGTATAACATGGCCATAGCCCTCCTTATGAGAAAGGGATGAAGTTCTGCATTCATTCACCCTTCTGGCCCGATGGATCGCACAACTGCTCACATGTATTTCAACTTGCATAGTTTGCCCTTCTACCCGTGTTTCTTACCTTCCTCCTCTCTTCCCCCTCCCCTCTGTAGTTAATCGATCAGCTAAAACCGGGCGGACGAATGATATGTCCGGTTGGACCTGAAGGTGGCCAGCAAAACCTGGTCCAGGTTGATAAGGCCGCAAACGGCAAGATTACTCAGAAGGACCTCATGGGTGTAATGTACATCCCGCTGACGGACTACAAACATCAGACACGATCGTGGCGGTAAGACATGCCACTGCCTCCTGTTGGTCGGCTGTTTAATCACTTGTCTCCAATGCAGTTTTCACGTAGATTGTACTGCTTTTTTGTAAATCTGTTGGGAGTGCCTACACTCCCAAAAACAAGAGCCAGCCAATCACTGGAGGCCACGTGCGTTTTCTCTATTGCGCTGTCATCTTTATCGTGGCGCTTCTCCATTGACTTTTCCCCTCGGGCCTGATCGATCTGCACATTCGAATTATCGACCGGCACGTCTGGAATGTTCTTCCCGAAGGGCATTGGGCCGAATGCCGGTGAAGCACAGTAGGGCGTTATAAATATGCGTTACATCCAGTTAATTTGGATTTGCGATTTCCTAATACACATTTTCGTGACCGGTCGCGTTTTCCTTCTCTGCCGCGTTGGCATTGGGGACAAGGGTCGAGTGCGTATACGCTCCACGGGATTGCAAGTACCAGGCCGGGTCATAACAAAGTCCCTAGCGTAGAGTGCAGCTGAGACGGGACTGACTTGTGTGGCCGTCTAAACAGGACCTGAAAATTGGAACGTCCCGCCCAAGTAATAAAGGCGAACCTGCGCATAATTCTAGAAAAGACAAAATATTCCCGTGTCCTAGCCCCAACAACAACAACAACCCTAGTATAAAACTAAACCGTTGCCCTAATCTTGACCCTAACCCATCCTAAATCCTAACTCTGCAGTTTATACTAGTCCCCTACCTTAACCCTAAACTTGGTTCTGACGTACGTTGCTGTCAACTTTAAATCCAACCTCGGACTTAATTCTTAGCTTAACCCCAACCATCTAATTTCAGTGGAAGTTGACTCAGTGCCCCGCGTGTTGCAGGCGGTTCCTGTTTATGCGTCCATATAACTCAGTCCTCCTTTAACTCCATCCACACTCAGGAGCAATCCGGAGGTCAGTTTTGAGTGCCTTCACGAACTAGATTTTCCAGATCTGAGATTTCACTTGCCGAATCCTATGACGCAGGTTAGGTGGTGATAGCTTGTACATGTGATGTTTACGTCGAGACATACTATTTACTTTTGAGAAGAAACACTTCCAAAGGCGCACGTTTTGTTCCTGAAGTTTGGAAAGCAGATAGTCTTCCATCCTCAGAGCGCCTGTGTGCCTCAATGAAGAATCGCTGGTCGGGATCCCAATCATGCAGGCGCTGCGTCTTCAGGGGGTGGGTTGAGTCGTTAAAAACGATCTTCTCCCCCATCCCCCCTCCCCTCTGGCGTGCCGCTGTGGCCGACGTCGAGGGGGGAAAAGGGGCATCCTTAATTGTTATGTCATTACCGCCCGCATTCACGCTATCGTCAGTTGTCATTCCTTCGGCGTATCGTTTGGTTTGGGTGACAATTGTAGGGCCTTGTAGGCGGCAAACAGGGTCGCGTGATAGTTTATGAACGCCGTTCCTGTATGCCGCCAGACTTCCACTATCTCCCTGCTCACGTGGTCGCCTCCGCCACCAATGATTTCGACATCATCAATAACGATTTCGCATCCAGATGTTGCCGGCCTTCCGCCCCCAAAGTAAAGAAATCCATATAACCCAGTATTTTTGATGCTCGCTCATGCGCGACCGCAGCCATATACCAGGCTCACCAGTGTAGTTGGCCTGACAGGAACTATGTCGGACCCGATAGCTAGTTTACAACGCTCATCTCCTCATCTCATCTGAACTCCGCTAAAGGCTGTTTCACTATTTGCCCTCTGTGGGCTGACAAGGGGGACTCGTCTTCTCGGGACTGCATCAGGTCTTATAACCAAGGTGCAAAAATTCGTCTCATGACTTGGGTTCCCCGACTTTCTCCACTACGCGCAACATTTACAGTTCAGTTAGGAAAGCTGTGCCGCCTCCCAGAGGTCAAAGAACACGAGGGATGACATCGGCCACATTTTCAGTACGTGGCAAGGCCTTGCATGCCCTGTTCCAAACCTTTCTGTAAGCTTAGGTCGTCTGTTTCGTTTTACAGAATTGCGTGGGTGCCTGTTCGTCATAGACAAGTGTTGACAGATTTGAAGTTCAGTCAAGTTGCCCATTTTTCTGCCCCGTGTTTGCATTCACTCTTCACACCAGTTTGGCCATCGTGAACAGCAACCTCCACCATGTACTCCACAGCATGATGGACGCAGGTCGGTGACTTTCGCGTGTGGTGGTATCGGACTTGCCCAGCATCTGTTGCACTCTATCCTCCTTCATCCAAGTAGGCCCGGTGGCAAGAGGACGTCAGGACGGCTGGGGTCGGACCCGGGCTAACAATGCTAAGCAGTCCATCTACGGTCGGGTTCGCGCACGGGGACGATGTCTTCGCAGGACAAAGGGAGCGGTCCAGATCCCATTTGAGCGGGAGTGCCATTAGGAAGAAACTATCGAGCCTGACTCTTCGTCCTGAGATGCCCGAGTTAACCCATTAGTTGGCAGTCCTCTAGGCGCCTCAGATTGTTTGTAGTGAGAAAATGCGCTGAAGTGCCATGGGGATGGAGTCCTCAGAGTAAAACTCACTCTCTTGCACCGGTCTGCAGCCGGTCAGCCATCTGGGGTTGAGCGCAAGTGGCTGGCACGGCGTGGAGCTTGTGCCTAGGCTAGTCACTGCACGTCCCCATGTGTAGCGTTTATTGTAGGATGCGTACGTTGGTTGGTGTGTGCGCACCCTAGCCTGGACTTGGGTGTATGGGTTACATCTTCACTCAAGCCAACACTGCACTGCGCGAAGGCGGCTAAATCGACTACGACTACATTGCATTTCATTAGGCGAGTCCTTAGGGGATTTGACCCTGACTGCTTTTCCAAACTATTTGGCACCTTCGTGCGGCCTCAGTTAGAATACGCCATACAGACGTGGAGACCTTGGACAGCCAAGGACTATACCGTCTTGGAGAAGGTCCATCGACCGGCTACCAAAATGACACAAGGTCTGGGAGCACTGCCCTGTGAAACCAGACTGTCACCTCTTAACCTGTTTTTCCTTTCCTACGGGCAATTACGTGGTGACCTTATACTAACATTTCGCATTATCAACGGCCTAGACTGTTGTTTACATCCCACTGATTATTTCACTCAAGCCAACACGCCCACTTTGCGCGGTCGTCCCCTAAAACTACGCACAGGGAAAGCAAGGATCAATGGACGAAAGTTCTTTTTCAGTAACTGAGTGGTTGCAGCGTGGAATGCCCTGCCTACCGATGTTGCACTCTCCTCCTATGTGAATTCCTTTAAGTGTGGAATTGACGCGTATCAAGCTTCCCAATTACCAGCCTCACATTCACTCACATAACCTGGCACTAACTAAAACGTGTATATACTACTTGCAATCAGTAAGTAACCGTTAATGATTACTCTTTTTCGACTAGCTGTCCGCAATTATGTACAAAATCCCTTTTTCACCTTCCCACTTATAAATGCTTTTCTCCGACGACTTGTAACCAATGGGGAGTTCAAAGGCGTTTGCCTATGTTTCCCCTAATTAACTAAAACTGGTCCCTGTGTTGGTCCAGCGCATCTCAAGCGTGGCCCGTCGTGAGGAGCCACGACGGTCCGACCGTCGCAAAGGACGATCTCAACGTTGTGCACCGCAATGGCGTGGACGAACTCGATAGTAGAGTACGTGCGCACCAACGTGTCTTAATAGCCTTTGCTCACCGTGTGTCAGGGAAATAGAAAAAAACTTCTGTCGTCTCTGCATATCTGCACTCGGGCATTTTCGCCCCTAACGGTTAGAAGATTTATTCGCCTGGGAGCACGACGCACCACACCTGACAGCACAGGTACTAGCTGGAAGCCCAGACACGCGTGTTTCGCCGATATGCTGCCGCTGCATGGCACAACTGCGAAGGGTCCGGCTCATCAGTGTCCCCCAGCGTTCCCTGTGCGTTTTCTGGTAGACACTCCAGTTCTGAAATTTCATCTTTTTAATTCCCTCAGATTTGTTTTGTCTAGGTGACTTTACTGTTCCTGTTCGCATCATCCTCATAACCTTCGCCTTCCATCCCCTTCTCTAGATCTGATCTCTGAACGTACCACCGTTATTCCAAAGCCATTTGCACTGAGTTTATACCCGCCCCGGCATTATGGGCTGTTCCCATCCGTTCAAGCTCTTCCCGCTGTTTGCTTTCCTCCCCTTACATGCACTGGAACAATCCTTGTGTGCCAGAAGAACTGCAGTACATCCCCCCTATCAGCAGCTTCCCCCTTCCTCACTTGCAAACCGCACGGCATTTTCGTCATTATCGAGTACCGTCACTATTCTTTTTTTCTGTCATCACCGTTTGCGTGTTTGTTTTCACCTGAAAATGATAGATTTAAAGGCAGTTTCCTCGTTCTTGCGCACACTTACTTCTCTGGGAAGACGAAGATGCGCGGTAGTCTACCTCCTGGCGACAGCTGATGAGTGTTGCGACGGTCTTCAGCGAAGGTACTAGGGTCCTATGAATAAGTAGTTGCAGACTAGCGACGTGGTCCGATACTCTGACTGCCTTGTAAAATAACCTAATCTCTCTGACGACACTATGAAATGGCGACAACGTACTGCCAGTAGATAAGTTTGCCTGCAATCGATGCCCTGTGTTTAAATCCTTCAGCCAAGACTCTGGAGGCGGCAGCCTCGAACAAGCCATTTAGGTTGCTTTTGGGGGACCCGCGTGTATTCACGCAAAATCACGTGAATAAAAGGCCCTAGGAGGCTGCCATGATCCACACTACGGTGTCGAAGGAAGCCAACGCGCCCCGCAAACCTGTTTGAACGGTATAGGTGAATACTATGTGAATTGGAGTACCCAGTAAGGATCGAGCTCTTGATACTACGTGCTGAGATGTGTGAACCTCCCTCGATCCCAGTACCCCTAGTCTGACGGCGTGCAGTCGTCATCAGTACAACATGAATGTCTGCGCCTGTCTGATGCCCAATACATGACTTAACCTTGGAAAATCAAGATCCGAGGGATCGACTCCTATTTCACCCGCCTTCTGAACACCTCCGGTAGACACGGTGTTTTAGTCGCCCTTACGACAGGCGAGCTGTCCAGTGCTTGCGTCGAAACCAGTCAGTGACCAGTAAGCCTACGTACCACTGAGGTGACACTTAGCTAGCATCTATCGTATCTGCCTAATCACCGACACAAATTGTTAAACAGGGCGATAGGGGTACGCTTGGAACTGATTCAAAGACTGTTGTTGGGGGAATGGTCGGCCGATTCTTCAACCACATCTTGCTGGTCGCATTGGTCTTTCCTATTCAATCGACAATGGCGAATGAATATTAGGACCCGCTGGTCAGAACCACCGACGCGTGCTTCCAATATCTCTACGAACGGATCCTGAAACCTGTGAGCAGGAAACAGGCAGTCTGTTAAACTTGCAGGCGGATAGCTTAGATCTGCCAACAACTGCGCCCACGTCCACCTCCAGTAGTCTCAACCTTGTCATCATAAGAGAGTCGGTAGTACGGAAAGGTAGAGCGAATTAGATATATCGAAAGTGGGCTTCTTTATGCATGCATTCACGTGCAATTCCTAGCTGGGCCCACCTCATGACACAGCAGCGGATCTCGTCCTTCACGACGGTCGAACTATCATAATTTTTTGGGGTCACAATCTGTTTTCTCCACAAGTTTGGCAGGGAGGAAGGCAAATGATGGCGTGAAGCTGCTTGCAGTAGAGTTGAGTGGGGCAGGCAGGCTAGTGTTGTGCTACCGACGGGCTAATTGCATGCGAGGCTGTCGTGAAGGCGGCGACCACTGCTGGGCTTTGGTTGATGTTTGCTTACAAATCATCTAGTCGGTTGGTTGGGATGACAGTAACCTTTGTCGATGACAATCACATATGGACGATTTCATAGCTTCTTAACTTTTCATCTGAAGCCATCGCGACGCTGTTGATACTACTGTTAATTCGTGGCTTTTTCATTTCCTCAGAAATTATCTAGGAAATTGGAGTAGATCAGTTTATTCAAGGTCTGTAGGCACAGGCCGAGAATTTTATACATGAATATTTGGACCAAAGTCCATCAGCCACAACGGGTAGTCGCGTACTAATTTGTTAACTACTGACAGGCAGCAAGTAGTATACTTTAGGATAAGGTGATACCATGCTAACATCGGTGAAACACGCGCGTATGGGCTTTTGGTTAGTACCTGTGCTGTTAATATGGTATCACCTGACCCTACTGTTACTTCGTCCGACCAATACATTTAGGCTTTAGAATAATGCTCGAGCTTCTCCACACACCGATAAACCTCTGATTTTGACAGCTAACTGAGCGGATATATGTGTTTGGTTGCGTTTTGTCGTTCTCGGTTGTTTCTCAGTATCGAATCTTTGAGCACTCGAAATTTATATCTCGCTAATTTTGCGCATTGGCATTTACATTGGGTTTGGTTGGGCGATTCTATGTGACGGCTTAGGGCTTAGATGTTACAGAACCTTCTAAATATGTATCGGCTTATCTAGATCAAGGCATCTGTTGTTCATCGAATGCTGAAGGTAATTAAAAGACTATTCATGGTCTACGCCTCCACAAGTGATTCTGTGCAATGCCACACCCGAAATTAGAAAAGCATCAAGACAGACACTTATGTAGATTCGCTTAATGTCCCCCCGAGTAGATAAGTTTATCTTGGTGACATTCCACTCTCTGGAGGCAGAGTTTCGTCCCACAGGTGTGGTGTTTAATTCATGGCCGAATTCGTATGCTCTGGTCGTTTCGTGCTTCGTCTTGGTGCAATTGACAACGCGACAGCAAAGCCAAAGGTGTAATCTTGAGTGGACCAGAGAGAAGTTATGACCGACAGTTAGTTACCCTCCCAAACAGGGCTCAAGCCACCCGGCCATCTAGTTTTTACTGTATTTTACCCGTGTGTCTGAATGGACCTTCCATTCGGAAACACAGTAGATAGCAATGGACCGTTCGTGTGAGTTTATTATTATTTCATATTGACCCACCTGTGAAAAACTCGGCGTCTCGGTGGGATTCGAACCCACGCAGTAAGGGGAAGGCTTTAGTACATCCAGCGCCCTAACCACTCGAGCTAGGAGGCCCCGCCGGACGACGCGAATTTAATCACATTTAGGTCAAGTTACCCGCCCAACCTACTGCAACGTCTGGAATCCATCAAATCTGATACAGCAAGTTGACTGCTCAGGCAGGATTCCCTAAGTAATTCATCTAGAATCCACTAGATGACTACTAGGCTCACGTAATTCATAGATGTTTTGGCAGCATTTTGAATAATTCATTTTGGCCCAACTGTGAAAAACTCGGCGTCTCGGTGGGATTCGAACCCACGCAGTAAGAGGAAGGCTTTAGTACAGCCACCGGTTGATATCATACACGGCTCTGACCTCTAAGCCTAATCGTAAACTCCTATCCCCGACTACTATTTCCCAACTTTAACCCGTTGCCCTCAATTCTTACCCTTAATCCAAGTCCCTAGTCCCAACCCCAAATTCCCAACTCTAACCCCCCTAACTCTAACCATAAACCCTAACCCGATGTATACTACCTGGCCCTAACCTGATCTTCAATCGGTGAGGATAAAGGCGGAGGCGGTGGGCCGCAGGTTCCCTTCGCCGCATGTCGTCTCTCACAGTCTTACTATGTGAAACGTAATCGGACGCCGCTACTCAAATTATAAAAGTAGGTTTTTCACAAAGCACAGACAAAGTAGGACCGCGCATCCACCCTTTAACTGCATTCTTTTTTCTTGTGTAGGATATTTATTATCCGCACTGATAACAAGGGTGTCCGGTACTGCGTACTATGGAAGATCCCGAGGGCCAGCTAACAAGATAGCAGAATTTAAGGTATGAATTCAGGTTCACTCGTTAATAACGCCCTGGCTGGAAAAATTCCAATGCACCTTCCCGTCGCAGTGTCCGGTTTTCAACGTTACTGACCATGAGGTTAGTCATGGAGCCTCAATGGCTGATCGCAATCTTGGTCACCAGTCGAACCCCGTCATAACACTTTTGGACGGGAGCTTCCTGCCGTTTATCTCACTGTCAAACACTTTCGGCACTTCCTTGAGGGCAGTGACTTCACTATCTTTATGGCCCACTAGCCAATTTCCTTCGTTCTCAAGTCGACTTCTGACAAGCTTAAACATCGTGAACTTCATATACTGGACTCCATCTCACAGTTTACCCTAGACATCCGCCATATTGGCGGTTCACGGGATGAGGTAGCTGACACGCTCTGTCCAGGTCGTCCATCACTCACCTTCAGCTATCTCTCGGGATCAACCTCTCTGAGATGGCAGCGGAACTACATACTGTCTGTTCTCCCTCTGACGAGGATGTTTCTGGATTCCAACTTCAGGACCTCGCACTGGAAACGGCATCATTTTACGAGATGTCTCCATCGCATCTCACCACCCTTTTGTGCCGCCATTCTTTCGCCGCAAAGTCTTCTCCTCTCTGTACAACCTATCAGACCCTGGGAGTCGAGCTACCGACAATCTAATTTCCGACCACTTCGATTGGTCTGGGATGCACAAGGACCTTAGAGCTTGGACACGGGCGTGTCTCGGCTGTCAACGCAACAAGGTCCAACGACACAACAAGGCCCCCAGCCCTGGTGCCACACTCGGTCATGCCCACCTGGACATCGTAGGTCTCTTGCCTCTGTCTAATGAACAGCTTTTAGACATGGATCGTTATACTCGGTGACCGGAAGCCGTCCCTCAGCCTGATGTTGCTGCTTCATCAGTGGTCATGGCTGCCCCCAGTCGTCGGGTTGCCAGCATCGGTGCTCCTCCCACCATCACAACTGACCGCGGTGCCCATTTCGAGTCTCACCTCTTCCAATCTCTTCTCTCCTTTTTGGGATGCTCTCGCATTCGCACTACAGCCTATCACCCTGCTGCCAGCGGGATGGTTGACCGTTATCGCCGACAATTGAAAAGCTTCCTACGCGCTGCAGAGGGCCTGGAGAGCTGGATGGACCATCGTTCCCTGGTCATGTTGGGCATTCGCTTCTCTCTCAAGTCAGACCCTCGCTGTTCCGTCGTTGAACTCGTGTTAGGTACCACTGACCGACTTCCGGGTGAGACAATCACGCCGACTCCTCCAGGTGCGGTCGAGGATCCTATCAACCTTCTGCACCCTCTCCGGCAATTTGTGTGGACACATCCCCCAGCTCCGCCCAGACCAAGCGTCTCTGAGTCTTACGTTGACAAAGACTTGGCGACATGCTCTCATGTCTATCTACGGTGTGATTGAGTCTACTGATCATTGGAACCTCCGTACGACGGCTACTTCGGGTTTTCGCAGTGTTCTTCGTCCCGTATCTTCCCACTTCCACCATAAAATGTCACTTCCACATTAACCCCCAGCACTCCAGCCGCCACACACGCCATTTATTCTCCTGAGCCTCCCGCTTATATTACCCGCAGTGGACGTCATGTTCACTTCCCTGAGCGGCTTATTATTCATGCTTTTAAGACATTTATGCTTTTTGGGCGTTGCTACATGCCATCTTCGGTCTAGTCGGGGGGTACTGTGGCTTGCCGAAATCTTGGTTGCCTCTGTCCGCATCATCCTCCTGGTCGATTCACTGTCTGCACCATGCAACGCTTGTCACTAATCTCGCGTGACCTTCAAGCCAATCAACGCGGCTTCTCCGCTGATTAGTTACAGGTGGACATAATAAATCAATGGGTGGCAACTACAAGTGCGCAGACACGGGACGCCGCCCTTGCAGACGCGATTTTATGCGGAACAGAGGCACAGGCAATCCACCAGCAAGGACAGCTTGTGGCGACTGCTTGCAGGGTCTTTGTACTTTCTTTCACTTAAGTAAAGCTTGTCAAACTAGTCTGTCTTCCTCGACTTCTGGTTAGGGAACCTATTGGTTGTCGACGATACCTCACTTCGAGGCCTCCACCAGTATCAATGGACCTACACAGTGCAATTCACGATTGTACATATCACGGATACTAATACTGCAATAATATATGACCACAAAATCCAGGACAAACATCAGCAAAATTACGACGAACTTCGTGTTTTTTAAAAGCCGCTCCTATTCTGCGGAGCCATGGCCCCATATATTCATCAAAAAGGAGTTTTTCTTGCCAAAAGAGGAAGCAAACAAACCACTTGTCATGCCCAGCAGAGTGACCTGAACAATCTCTATCGGAAACTGGTACACGTAGGAGTAAGGAATACTCCGGTGACGACCAGGCAACATTTCTGGTGTCAGCATCTCCTAATACGTGTAATCAAGTCCTACAAGGCTTGCTTAACGTGTGCTTTATTCGAAAAACGCATCCAGTGAGATAAAGGCCCTTTACAACTTATGACTCCTGGTTCTTCTTTAGGGCTAGTAAGTGTCTACACCTTAGAAAATCTTCCACATACGTCATCTGTCCATTTGTGCATTTTAGTGTTGTTCGACCACTCTACGAATTGCACCGAGGCAGTCCGCTCACACCAGCAAGATGCTGCTTCAGTTACAAAAGCACAAGACAATGAAATGATTTTGCGGTTTTTAGCCCTGTATCCTCGCATTCAGCTTGTAGAGTTTATGTGGAAAGCGGTCTGTTTCAAGAAGTTTTTAATGTACTCCTATTTCACTGGAAAGGGACGGTGCCGATACATCATGGAGGTAATAGACAGACAGAATGTGTTGCCCATTCTATAGTTAGCCTCTTAAAGGCGTATGTCTAGCATAATTGTGACGTGAGTTGACCTTCTAGGTGATTGGTTATAAGGGCCGATTCCCGCCTCTGAGGAATATGTCCCCTTCTTTATTTGTGAATGATCGTCATTTACGATTATCCACTAACTACCAGTTCCCTATTCCTGCATCAGGAAAGTACGCTACCTGGAAAATCGCCGTGTCACACACGATTTAGCATGTACTCCCGTTGCCCCTTCTGTGACTGTCAGAAGGGATACTTTGCGCGATATGCATGAGTATCCTTGCCAACTCGATAATCTATTTTAGCGCTACTGCTCGGCACTTCACATAAGGATATAATCAGAATTCATCTATAACTGAGAGGATTCGTTTTAGATTACCGATGCTCTGTCGCCCACTGCTTATTTTATCCGTCGCGCCCAAATGCCGGAAGACCTTGCTTTTGCACCGCACTTCGGCAAGCCATATAAGGGCCAACTGCAGAATATTTTAAAAGATTTGCTTCCTATCTTGCCACCTGATCACGTTCCCAGAACTTTAACGAAATTGAGAATGACGAAATTTCCAATCCCCAGTTCATATACAGCGGATAGTGCCCCAGCCGGTAAAGAAGGAGTCATAAGGAAAGTGAATCCACAACCACCACTCGGTTTAAGTGGCCATATTGCTTTATCTGCGTGTGCTTCCTACTATCAAACCAACAACCAAAAATAAAGTGGCGTTAAAATATTCGGAAGTGTGACTTTAACGCAGTGAGGCATACTCTTTGAAAGGAAACCAGGTGGGTCCACATGGAAGATAAAGAAGAATTTTGGTAGCACTTTTGCGGGATTACACAGAGTCCAATTGACCACATTGTCTAATAAGCATAACAAGACCATGTGCGCGACCGCCGTGGGTCACTCCGATGACAAAAAAGACCCTGACGAAGAAACAGAGGCTGTGGGAAATGCATTAGCATCTTCAAGATCCGGTGACATCGCTGAATAAAAGGAGCAGTGCAATAAGTGCCGCAGAAATACGTATGGGCTGCTAGAACTCCTTCCGCGCGCCGACCGATAACAGAATACAATATATTGCCAAGTAGCTTAATAAGTACATCCACAGTAGGAGAAAACATAGGGACGAAATTGTGTGTCTAAAGGATAACTTCGTATATTTATTAGTTGAAGGGTCGCAGAAAGCGTAATTACTGTCTCAGCTTTTTTACAATCGGGTTTTACGATGGAGTCCTTTGAAGGTTATCAAGAGTTTGAAATGCGCCAAGCAGCCGGGGGTTTCAGATGCGTTAACATACTGCCGTCATTGAAATCGTTGCCTTTCCCGTCGAAGAAGTAGGGCGTGTTCTCAGACCAATAAAACCAGATAAGTCTTCTAGACCCGGCGGGAGTCTTGATCTGATACTTACGGAGCTATCAACGGAGCTGTCAAAGCGTCTTTCGACTCTCTTTGGACTGTCACTTGGAACAGAGACGCTACCATCGAAGTGGAAGACCGGTAACCTCGTTTCCTTATATAAGGGAGGCAGCAGGATGACAGCAAGCAGCTTGAGGCCGATTAGCTTGACTTACCTCTTATGCAAAACGATGGAAGCTTTGGTAAAGAGTGCCATACAGCAATTTTGTTAAGAAAATAACATCTTGTAGGATTTTCAACATGACTTCTGGAGAAGACGTTCCTGCCTCTCAAATCTGCATACTTGTCTGGCGATCTGGACCAGGGCTTTAAAAAAGGACTTTGAGGTCGATGCGTGTACATCGATTCCGCAGAGCAGTCGACACTATCCGCACCAACGCCTTCTTCATAAATTGAGCGCCATCGGCATCCGGGGAGATCTCCTGAACTGAATAAGACCGTTTCTGGTTGGTCGGAAACAGCGTGCCTGTATCGGAGATGATATGTCGGATTGGGTGAACGTGATTTGTTGCGTGCCTCAAGGCTCAGTTCTGTGAGCCTTACTCTTCATCCCTTATGTTAGTGACAGCCCTCAGGAACTTGACTGCGGTAAATGTTCTCTCCGCACATGCTGTTGTCCTTCAAAAGGAACCTTGACAGATTTTTGTTTAGAAATTAGCAATGGCGATGAGATACCGAACCAATCGCTTGACACCCGTAGGTATTTTTAAATCTTTACAGTACTATTTGAGCTATTTCAGCTTATATGGTTTCTCTGAGCACTGCACCAAACTGTAGTTTCAAATAGGATGCGTAAAGGATCACGCCTATTTCCCTCAATAAACTGAATTGAACTGGGCTGAGAAAGCTTCAGATCCGACTTAGAAGAACATATGCCATCTCGATGAGTGTGGAGACACCATATTGGACAGAAGAGGTTCTGATCCGAATTTCGAATAATCAGTTGAAGCGCTTCATACATAGGCGTCTAATAAACACTTAACCGTTTTTATAGTACTTCATGGCAAGCAGAAATAAATTCGTGAGAGAACTTCAGAGTAGGTAGGCAGACGCTGTTCAGCATCCTGTTCGTGCTTATAAAAAGGCAGTTTAATATGAAAAACTGTTAGCGAAAAGTAGATAAAACTCCGGCATTTTTGAAAAAGGAAAAATCGATGGGAAGAATTAGTTTTTAGGAAGAAAACAGCTGTCACTCACAGGGAGGTAGATATGCGCGTCGGACTGGACCGCTCCGCAGGTAAGTGTATTTAATGAATTAAAAACGGTCCTCATCAAGGTTAAGTTCCTATACCGGGTGAGGCCCTTCCCTGTGGATGTGACCCTAATATTTTCGGTTTGACAGAAAACTCGGCCGTCAAGATGGCGAGGCAGGAGGGACTCAACGCGACTGGTCGCGGTCCGCTTAGAGCCCGAGAGTGGACGAGGCATAAAGGGCTGCGAGGATCATCAAAGCGGGCGGAGATGCGACCATGGAACTTTTTGCTGACCAACCAAACTATTCGCAAATGATGAAAGTAAAGGAATACACTGTGACCGTCAATAGATGACTTTAGGTCGAAATGAGGAGACGACATGAAAAACCGGAAAATTACTCTTTCGACGGATGTAGAGGAGCAGGTGGTTCGTCAGGAAGATAGGATGTGGGCCTGGGGATGTTAAGTGGTGGCAGACCCAGGGTGGGGGCGAGAGCTCGAAATCCATGGAGCCCAGAACCGATGCATGACGAGGGCCAGCGATAAGCGAAATAGAAACGACTTAGAGTGTGCACGTTAAGATGGCACCGCCGATTATTTGAGAGCTGGATTAAGGTGGACATCGTCCCCAGTGAAGGACACGACGCAGGGACTAAAAATCGAAAAAATCGAAATTTAAGACGAGAGACCATAAAAAGCGAAACCACACGCGGAGAGAGAAATTTAAGCGAATACAGTGATTTATTGGCGGCGTACCAAATTTTCGATGGTGTTTTCTCAGCCCTAGAGAAAAGTGGCCGAAAAGAATGAGAAAACCAAAAGTTTACTCGAGTTAGTGCTCAGACAAAGGCGTAGTTTACTCTTAAGTGCATGTCAATTATCTGATGATCTTATATCTATTGAAAGGTTATTCCAAAGAAAAGTATACCTGAAAGCGGAAAAGGTGGAGCGCTTAGAGGAAGAGGAGA